GCCATTGGCCTTCTTGGCAACAAGGTCACACTGTTGACTCATATCCAGCTTCTCATCCACTGTCACCCCTAGGTCCTTTTCCGCAGAACTGCTGCCTAGCCATTCGGTCCCTAGTCTGTAGTGGTGCATTGGGTTCTTCCGTCCTAAGTGCAGGACCCTGCACTTATCCTTGTTTAACCTCATCAGATTTCTTTTGGCCCAATCCTCCAATTTGTCTAGGTCCCTCTGTATCCTATCCCTGCCCTCCAGCGTATCTACCACTCCTCCTAGTTTAGTATCATCCGCAAATTTGCTGAGAGTGCAATCCACACCATCCTCCAGATCATTTATGAAGATATTGAACAAAACCGGCCCCAGGACCGACCCTTGGGGCACTCCACTTGATACCGGCTGCCAACTAGACATGGAGCCATTGATCACTACCCGTTGAGCCTGACAATCTAGCCAACTTTCTACCCACCTTATAGTGCATTTATCCAGCCCATACTTCTTTAACTTGCTGACAAGAATACTGTGGGAGACCGTGTCAAAAGCTTTGCTAAAGTCAAGAAACAATACATCCACTGCTTTCCCTTCATCCACAGAACCAGTAATCTCATCATAGAAGGCGATTAGATTAGTCAGGCATGACCTTCCCTTGGTGAATCCATGCTGACTGTTCCTGATCACTTTCCTCTCGTGTAAGTGCTTCAGGATTGATTCCTTGAGGACCTGCTCCATGATTTTTCCGGGGAGGTAAGGCTGACTGGCCTGTAGTTTCCAGGATCCTCCTTCTTCCCTTTTTTAAAGATTGGCACTACATTAGCCTTTTTCCAGTCATCCGGGACTTCCCCTGTTCGCCACGAGTTTTCAAAGATAATGGCCAATGGCTCTGCAATCACAGCCGCCAATTCCTTTAGCACTCTCGGATGTTTGCTAACTTTTATTGTAATTTCTCCTAAATCAGTATCACGCTCTGGTGGTAAGTCTTCATCATGTATTTCTAGTAGTTTGCTTGTGCTTGGTCTATTTCAAATAGCCTGAAAATATTCTGCCCATGTTTTCCTTTTTTCTTCTTATATACTAAGAGCCTTTCCATTTATGTCTTGAACAAGGCCTTCAGTACTGCTAGAATTTCCTGTTAGCTGTTTGATTGTCTTGTACAAGGTTGTAGATCAGCTCTTTGGCCAGCATCTTGAGCCTCTTGATATTTTCTATCAGTCTATGCCCTTTTAACTCTTCTAGCACTCCTTATTTCCTCTGGGTAGAACTTTACATTCTTCTTCCCTCTTGCTTGTCGCTAAACATGTCTTAGCATTCACGTGTTTTTGCTTTCTGCTCCTTTGTGTCACTTACAAATATAGAATACAATCCCTGGCCCATACAATTTACAATTTAGGCTGTATAAAATGTGATATGATGCAGCAAGAGATTAAATTTTGGCAATGGAAAGGGAGAGAGATTTACACATAAGTATTAGTATTCTCCCTAATTAATACTTGACATGTTTCCCAGGGTGTATTCTTCTGCAAACTATTTCCTTTGATGGGGCAAATAATTTTTCCCCAGTTTCTACACACAAAATTATGTAGAAAAACCTGTTTTATTTTCCCAAAACAAATAAAAACAATTGGCGTGATGTATGAACATGGCTCTACTCCTTACAACAACAAAATAAATTTTAAAAAATCTATTTTTCATTTAAACCTTTCTTTCAGACTTCAGATACCAAATGTTTAAGAACTTTAGGCTTCAAAATTGGATCAGCACAGGCGACAGAAGTAATGTACTGGATTTTCACCCAATTTATACGTATACAATATATAACTATCAGGATGAAATTATAAAATTATTTAAAATAATCCATAAAGGATTGCACTTTTCCCTTATTCACTAAAATTTAAAGCATCAACTGATTTCTTTCTTAAAGATGATTTGTGCACAGTAGTACAGGCATAAATAAAAAAAAGAGAAAGCAGGCATTTTAAAAAAGGGGAGAATCTGCCTTCTATAGGTAGACCAGAAGGTGGTGCTCACCCTCCATGGCTAGTGCATGTTACATGAGTAAAAAATTACTGTATAGAAAGACCAACATGAATGGAATGTGACTCAGAGGTACTAATTTTAATCTGGAGTCAAGACGCTTTGTAGCAATTTTGTCAAAATATTTGCACTGATTCTTTAAATGACTTGTGATAAATATTTCAATGCATTTGAAACCTTTTCATCTGCTTTGGAAATGGTCAGCAAAAAACAAAGAGGCTCTTTGTGTTTTCTGTAACCTGATGAAAGGCTCTGAAGAACTCTTACCATCCCAAATCTTCTGGACAGGGAATATTCTTAAATCCCTTGTTGGGTTCTCTTGTTTGCCAATGGGGCCTTTACACTTAAATCTGTGGCTGCATTTGCAACTTTTAGGCCTGCTCTATGCCACATAATTTTACAGCTAATAAACATGTTTGCTAACACATCTTAACTGACTTGTTGACCATGATTTGTCCTGATCTACCATATTCAGCATCAAGACATGTAACATGATTGTTGGCAGCTGCTGTTTTCAGATACAATATAATCTTATAGTTTACGCCAGGCCCCAGAAAGAGGGTGAAAGTAATTGATCTAGGATTCCCTATTCATATGCAGAAACTTTTATGAGGCCAATGTTAGATAATAAAGGGAGGCCCAATTCTTCACATGAGCATCAATGTGAAAGTTCTAGGGACCAAGCTTTAACTTTGCAGTTGATCTTTTGAACGATAAACATTTCAGTATGAACCCAATGAGTGTCAGTCTCTAGTAAAACATTTAGAACTAGGTGACTAATAAGCCCCAAGCACTGGTCAGAGGAAATGCGTGGTGGAAATGCCAAATTAAGTCACAGGTAGTTAATCCTTGAAGAAGGAAACTATTTAATTTGCATTTTTAAAAGCAGGTGTGGTTTTCTATTGTTCTTCTCCCTTTCCCCTGCCCCTCCTGCCCTGCAAGAAACCCCCACATCCTTGGCAATGGAAAAACTCCTGTTTTGACAGTACATGAGTGAGAAACATTAGTTTGGGTCTACTAATATATTTGTCACCCCATAATTCAAAAGTGTCCAAGAAACACAGTTCCTTGCTTTCTAAGGGCTATGCTGTAATCCTTAATGCTTCTGCTAGTTTTTTTCTTAACTTCCTAAGACCCCTACCCCCACCCCCCAAAAAAAAAAAAAAAGAAAAATTGACCTTACAGCAGCATGCATTACTGCCTGTTTACAACCTCAGCCGGACTCAAGATTTAGGTGGAAAATCAGCTTTGAGGGGGAGGGAGGAACCTGCTGGTGTTTGAGTGTGTTAGCGTGTTACTGTGGGAAAAAGAGACCGAAGACCTCAAAACAGATTAAAATCCTAGGGCCTGATTTGGGTTCGAGAAAATTCATCTGCAGGAATGATTTTAGGGGCATTGAGATATGTTGACTTGTGTAAATGAAGCTAAGGTGTTTGTTTTTTTTTTAATTTAAATACTTTCTTGTGGGGTTAATCATTCACTGTGCAAAATTAGAACAAACTGCATGCAGCCCTACTGTTGCTGAGCCAGTAGCAGGGTTTCTCCATAGGAGGCATTAAATGTTTGCTACAGTTCTGGAGACTTTTAATCACTGGTTTGACAGAGAGGTGGGTGTAGTGTGAGAAGCAGTAGATTAGCTCTCCTCCCCCACCTCACCCTATTCTGAATCCAGACTTTCAATGCAAGGCTTGTGTTCTTATTGCATTGACCCCTCACAAAGGGTTGCGCTACTGATTGGTCAGGGCAGCTTCTGTATTAAGAGATCAGAGCTGGCTTTCTCCCCAGCTTCAGAGGATGGATTTGGTGTCAAGGTCAAGGAAAGGCAGCCGATGCAGACTGTGTGGTGCCACCCACACATCTGTTCACTATGATGAAAGTGTTACTGGCCTCAGGTGGAGGTGCCTTTTCCTGGAAGAGTCCACAAATCTCAACCCGACCCACCAGGCCTAAGGTAATTCCTTCTGCAGAACAGTCCTTACCCAGACCATTATCAGAGTTCCCCTCATTCCACTGCAAATAACTCCATTCAGTTATAGGATTTTGAAGTTGACTTGTTTGGAATTCCCAGTTTAGGAAACTTTATAGTTTAGTTTAAAATAGAGTGCAATATCAGGAGGTTCAAGTAAATGCATCCCCACCCTCCCTCTTATGTTATGGCAACAAAATAAATCAGATGAAGACAGGTAACTTACAGTGGACAAGTACAGTACAACAAATGCCCTTGAGTAGTACTAGAATGTATACATAAGAAATACCAAATCATACTTTGCTTTTAAAAATGTTGAGTCTCATTACAGGCTTAATTTCTCTTTCATGGAGAAAGAGTTAATGCTAGGACCAGCCAAAGTTTAATCAGTAACACAGCAGTGATTTAGTTCAATTCTCAATAGTCATATGGAGAAGCTGCTGCAACTGATTAGAAAACCCATTTCACTGAGCTATTGCATGGAAGCATGTAAATTCCAGTGTGGAAAGGCAACAGTCACTTCATTATTCCAAATCACATGTTAACGCATCACCAACTTTTGCATTCAAAGCCTTTTGCAGAAATTAAGTGGTTGGGAGACTAATAGCTAGCCACAGCCCTTAATTCTGTGTAATTATTCTAAAAGCAAGTTACCAGATTTTGGGCAGCACTACTGGAGAACTGAAAGTGAGTCATCAACGGGGGGGAATCAAACACCAAGGGAATTTCTTAGGACTAACTACTTTTGTGTATATTTCCAAACTGTTCCTCAATAGCATCGGCTCTGTAATAATCCATAACTCTGGCAATTTCTTATACACTGTTTATAAGATGATTGGCTAGAAGTTTGGAACATACATTAAAATAAGTTTTAGTCAAATTACAAGAAATTAAAAATAGTAACTTATAGTAATTTTATGTTCTACACATATTTGAACTGTTACTTTGTAAAATTATAACACCCGGCTGGCCCCAGCAAACTGTTGGCCCCCAAGAATAAAGCAGGAAATCATTTCAATAAACACACTTGATTTATTTTGTATAAAAAGGGTTAAGTTTACAACTAAACTTTTATAAAAAGTTTAGCATGATTAAGTACATCATTACACTTTTTGCAGAAATGTACATTTCTGCCACTATACAAGAAAACTCTGATTAAAGAGTTCACAAGGTTTCACTCTCATATATATATATATATATATATTTATATATAAATATATACACAGTATTCAATCCTAGGCTTGCATCAAAAGGTCATTTCTGACCATGGACTTCCCTAAGAAACTGAACACTGGATCCTCCTGATACTCACGCTCCACCTTTGGAATAAAAGGCAAAGTCTGCTTTAAAATGGGCAATTCCTTGTGAGTTTTTATGTTTCACTCCCCATGCTGGGAATAGTATATAAAGGACACCTTCCAACTAGGGAAAGGGCATTTAAAGTCTCTTCATAAATAGCTAAGATCAGTCCAAGTTGGGGAGGGGGGGAGAGATCTCAGTTCTTTTCTTCTTCATTAGTTTTAAAAGGTCCATTTAATTAGATGTAGATTCCCCCTCCAGATACAGCTGAAAAATAAGTTCAGCACCTCAAAAAAAAAAAAAAAAATCCTGTAGACATTTTCTTGTGGGGGAAAGAAAAGTCAGCAAACACCTGCAAAAGATTGAAAAGAGGAGTATTTAGGAGAATGCTAACAGGGCAGAGATCCGGACAGACTGGCGCCAGAGAGGAAGCCACAGTTTGAACATTTAACCAAACACTCAAAGATTGGGCAAACCCTGGCGTCCAGATGCAAAACACACACACACATGCACCCCCCTCAAAAGCACAAATTAAACATTAAAATAACATACGTTCAGCAGGAGGGGCAGAAAGAGGATTCTCAGTCCAAACTCTATTTGGATCTCTGTAACTGCACTGCTCAGAGGCGCCAGTCTGCCTCTTACAGCAATTATTTGATTAGAAGCAGACACTTATTTAACTGATAGTGCAGACAATCCCACATCACAAAATTTAATGGATTATGCTAAAATCCTCAACTAAATCAGTCACTTCATCTGAAGGTTAGAGTTTTAGGAACAGATAATCACAGAATTTACATTTTGTGGTGATATATTTAAGTACAAAGGGATAGTATCAGGGTAAACAGTCTATACTACTTATTTGCAAGGCGAAAATACACTTTCATTTGGGCTACCCCCAAATGAATTACTAGTGTAATTGTTATGGCTTGATTACTGATTATAAAGGTATCCTCCGATAAACTTGTTACTTTTATTATAAATTAAAAAGTGTCTTAAATCCAAGCCCATACACACATTTTCCTCCCCAAAATAAATTGTATTTTGCATTATATTTATTCTTTGAAAACAAAGAGCCACAAACACTCACCATTGAATTTAGCCACAAAGTGCTTTGCTGTCATTTGACATTAATTCTGAAGGGAATTCAGATGTCTGTAAAGAAGAAAAATAAAAACAGCGCAGTGTTAAATATCTTAACAGCACGACAAAAAATACAAAATACTCTGGATCATGAAGCTCATTCCATATGACATGTCACAATTAGATTCACAATGACAACCAACATTACTAGGGCTGCCTAGCAATTGGGGTATTTTCATCTATTTCAATCTAAAATGATTAGTATTAGCTACAAAAAAACATGTAACAGTTTCTCATGCCAGTCACCCCCATCATAAAAGATACATCACGCTAGTATTGACTTCCTAACAGCAATGTCCATTATCACTATAAAGGTCCAATCTCAGACTCTGCACATAGGCCAGGAAGACAGCCAACAAGGAGGGAGAAAAGCCAGCCAAGGCTAATGAGACAAGGTAGGTGAGGTAATATCTTTTATTGGACCAACTTCTGTTGCTCAGAGATACAAGCTTTCAAGCTTACACAGAGCTCTTCTTCAGGCCAACACAGCTACAACAACACTGCATACAACCAGGGCTAAGACATTTACCTGTAATGACAAGATGCTGATGTCTGTGTTTAAGGTGGTCAGAGGAGTTCTGGAGGAAGGATTTGGTCCTGGTCTCTGGTGATGGAGGCTGACAATACTGGGGTGTGAGTCTAAAGCAATCTGCAGGTCCAGGATGTAGTCAATAACGTGCTGCAGAATTTCCATCTTGCTCACTTTTTTGTTCTGAGGGATGCTGGGCACTAGCTCTTTCAGTTTGGAATAGCAGTCGTTCATGTTGTATAGCAAACTCATAGGATCATCCACGGGGGTTTTGCTCCGGGATATTCCCAGGGTGTGTTCAGAGAGGCTGTTTTTCCTGACGGATCTGACAGGACTGAAAGCTTTCATGCTGGGAGAGAGCCCGACTTCCAGGGTACAGAAAACACACACTAAGGGATCTCTCTGCCTGCTTGACTACCTCCCTTCCTTTTCTTTCTCTAAGCAGCTGCCTGAGCTCAGAATGAAGCAGCAAGCTGCCTCTACTTGCTTTTATACTGCAGGCTCAGGAGCTGCCAAATCCAGCCAGTGCTTGCTGCCATTGGAGGCACACAATGTGTCCATCAGGCAGGGAAACATTCTCACTGGTACAAAAAAACCTAAAAGAAGGTTCAGGTCTTCCGCATTCTGAGCCAATCGTGAGGAATGGGGTGTGGCTATTCTAGGCACAGCTGAGGATAGTAAATACTGTACAGTAACTGCTGAGCTCTCCTGACTCATTTTACAAAGGCACTGAGAAAGGAATGAAATGGGCATTTTGCATTGTGGTTGCAAAGAGCCAGGTCTGATCACAGAGCCCTCAGCCCTCTCCAGTACAACAGATGCTCCCCTAATATTTTCGTCTTCATTTTAAAGAGCTAGCTTGAATAAAATTGGAATGAAAAATGTTGCAAATTTAGGATCTGAAAATGAACTAGGCTCTGGGAGCATAAGCACATTATGAGCATTTTTGTGTGTGGTGTGGTAGTGGTGGACACACTATAAACATGATAAGTGCAGAATACACCAAAGGAAGTGAGCTATAGCTCACGAAAGCTTATGCTCAAATAAATTTGTTAGTCTCTAAGGTGCCACAAGTCCTCCTTTTCTTTTTGTGGATACAGACTATCACGGCTGCTACTCTGAAACCTGTCATAAGCAGATAAAGTCTGCAGTTGTAACATGGTGTCAGTGAAGCCTGATACTTCCTGAAAGTCAGTTTGAATTATGGTAACAAACAGGTCTTTCTTTTTTATATATGGTTGTGTACATCACCTTCACTAATAAGTATTGTATGCTGAAGCACTGCAGGAGGTATAAGCATAAAAAAGTCAAATAAATGAACAAGATCAACTGGAACTTTTTCCTATAATGACAGAATACTCAGCGACAGAACTGATAGCTCAGGGATTTAAAAGACTGAGAAGTCACTGCACTGTTAGCTTGTTGTCTCATGAGTAGGATAGGGCTATTTTAAACGTTGCTATTAACTGGTGATCATTAGGCAAATATTGAAAGTGCATTTACACATATTACCTCTGAAAGGCTGCTGACCTGTAACCCAGCAGTGCATGTGACGTGACTGTAATTAAGTCTGCATAGATTGATTCTGGTGACAAATGTGAATACTTACTGTACTGTATTTCTGCATCTTTGCTTTTGCTGAAGCCAATGAGACACATCTTCCAGAAACATTACAAGCATACAGTGATTATTTTGATGAGAGAAACAGTCTTTGAAATTTTCCTTTTGCCCAATCACATTTCCCACATTTTGTCTTGCACTCAACTGCTGATTATCAGAACTAATTCCCATTGTTTCATGGACTACTCAAGGAAGGCTAAAGCTATGAAATTGTAAACTTCAAGATATGGAAATTATATATGATTGATTGTACTGTAACTTGTTAAATTTTCCAACACACATAGTTCTGTACTGCACAAAAACCACTTACACTACATTAATATATAGATGTAAAGTCAGCGTGGGCATTTCAGAATTGTATTAAAGAAGACACACAAGTATTTGATTTATCCATGTTGTTGGGTCCTTGTTACATAGCTACATCATACTCCATTTGAGGGGGGGAAAGGGATCATTATTGGGAACTGGAGGCAGAGCTCTGTAGGGATCAATCAATATTTTCCTCCAATTAATGTCGCATTCCTTAGCTGGTGCTTGGGGAGGTCTCTGACAGAACATTTTGCTGACTGCAACACAAGCTTATTTGCCCCAGGGCTTTTATCTAGGGGTGTAGGCGGTGCTGAGCCTGACAGGAACACAATTCAATCATTTTGAAATGTGAAGGGTGAAAGTGAAGCTCTCCATTCAATCTTACAGGAAGACAAGTACATTGTTTAAGTACAATTAAAAGGCACAGTCAATAAAAACCTGTGTGGAAAATAATCAACAGCTTAATTAAAATAAACAAATACTGACTGTAACTCCAATTCTTCTAAACACTAAATTAACAAAATCTCATTTATATTAAATCTGGTGATTTATTATCACAGATTTTACCCTACTGACTTGCTTGTATTTCTGTTCCACAAGTGCCCCAGTGGAACAGGTTTTGTTTTGACACTATATTGGTAAAATAATAGCCAATATAAATAAATATCTTCATGTTTCTCTCATTATCTGCCATCCCTGGATAATGAAACAATGTTACAGTCCTCCTAGGCTTTTGCAAAGGACTGCTTCATTCAGAGTTGGTTTCATTCCTCCATATCGAATACTTAACAATTCACATTTTTTAAAATTTTGTTTTATAGAGTGGAGTTATATGAAGAGGAACTAACCAGATTAATTGACTCTGTGATCAAATGATTGCCATGCTATGTGTACTTTTTGCATGAAAAGTGGTGTTTAAAGCACACAAACTCCATTTCTGCTTGGGGACTCTTGATTTGTGTTTACACTCCGTCATTTTTCAGACTGATTTTAAGGCCTGTTTTGAAAGTCTGTCACTCTTGAAAGATTTTACAATAGAAGATAGATCCCCTAAAACTTTGAAACTCCCCCCCCCCTCCTTCTAATCCTTGTAGTCCAAATTGTCCCAGCAGTTTTACACACAGCCTTGGATTTTGTTTATTTTCATACTGTGCAAAAGGTGAATGGATTTGTGTGCAGGGAATCTCAGAAAACAGTACCCCTTGGAACTGCTGTAGCACTTTCCCTCAGGACCTCCAAGAACGTTGCAAAGAGGACTAGATGACACTCCATGTGAAACTCCCTTAGAAATAGATGTCAGTCCCAACCCTGTATCTGTTTCCCTATTCCCAACCTCAAAATGCTGCTGCTAACATCTGGAAGAAAAGTATGCGAGCTCCTGTCACACAAAGCGGTGCTCTACTGCTCTTCCTCCCACCCTCCTCCCCGCTGCACACAACCCTGCAGTAGAGGGAAGCATCTTCTTCCCTAGAACATGAGCCCCCCCCTCCCCCGTCACTCCCGCAGGGGCCACCCCTCTCTCCAGGGCCCCGAGAGACGGACGGCCCTGTAGTGAGCGGGGCTAGCGACCCCCAGCGTCTGGGGCGCGGAGGGGGATGGAGCTCCCCGCCCTGGCGCGAGGGGGCTTTGATCCCCCGCAGTGGGCCGGCCTGGAGGGGAATTCCCCGCCTTGAGAGCCCCAGCTCGCCAGGCTCTCCCCGGTGGCCCCCCCCCCGGCGTGTGGGGACCAGGCGGCGCGGCGCAGCCCCGCCCCCCCCCGCTCCAGCCCCGAGGGCCGGGCCGGACTGCGCGGCGCCAGCCCCGTGACATCACCCCTCGCGGCCTCCTCCCGCCTTTCTCGGCCGGGCCCGGCGGCGCCGCCTAGGCGGCTGCCATGGCGACCGGGGCTGAGCCCTGGGCTGTGGGAGGCTGTGGGGCCCGGCCTGGCCGCCCCGGCCCGGGCGTACGCGCACCGCGGGGGCACCGCGGCTGAGCCGGGGAGATCCCCTCCCTCTCCCAGGCCACTGCGTGGGGCCCGGCAGCCCCGGGGAGCTGAACAGGGGCCCTAGGCGGGGCGCCGGCTCCCGGCCCCCCGCGGCTGCTCCCTCCCGGCCCCGCAGGACAGTCCCGCGCGGGGCTCGTTCTGTGCCCAGCGCCCCGTCCTGCCCGAGGCAGGGTCCTGCTGGAAACCAGAGGCGGGGCGAGGCAACCCCCCCCCCCCATTGCATCCGGCAGCCTCACCGCGGTGCTGCTGCCCTCCATTAGCATGATCTGGGCTGGTCCTTATCAGAAGAGAAATGAAACCTCTGTGCCCCGTTGGTCCACCGTGTGAAACAGTAATGAGCTCATAATGAGAAAGGAGAGAAACCGCGGCTCCTTCTCTGTGCAGAGGTGTTTGAAAAGTTCCCGACCCTGCTCTCTCACCAGGCAGATTGTTGTGGTTTTCTAGGAAACAGCCTCTGGGTTACATAAGAATTCAGGTTGTTGCCCCCTGGGTTTGACACTCCCAAGAAGTCTGGAAAAATGGAGCTCTTCATGGGAAGCAGAGCCCGTCTATCGGCTCTTGGGTATCAGTCACTTATTTTCCTTATGAGTAAGGATCTTGAAAGTTTTCATACCCAAGACCCTGTATGTGTAATAAAATGTATCTAAAAACCAACTAGAACTAGTATAAATGCCTTTAACTGCTGCGTACTTATGTCATCAGACTTTACTAAAATCTGTTGTTAATCCTGTCCCTTCTCCACCTTACTGCCACAACCCAACATATCAAAAAAAAAGTATGTTGGCTAAATATGTTTTGACATAGAGGTTGTCAATGTTCCTGGTGAAATACCTACCTAAACCCAATTACTTTGAAGTGCCTGATCCTTTTTGTTTGTCTCACGTTTCAGATCCATTCAAAGAATGCAGTTTTAGACTTTTTGGGGGGAAGAGGGACAAGCCTGCATGCAAAATACTTAATTACACATTCTGTGAAGTGCGCTGATCCGTAACAGCGTTTTCTGCTTTTACAAAGGATTTTCCTGTTACTTTGTTCCGGTCGCAAAATTAAAAAAACAACAACAACAACAAAAAAAAACCAACAACCCCAAAAAAACCTAACTTCGGAGAGATAAGGTCTGGAAAACAATCTGGAATTGCCAGTCTGTTGGTGGGAGCTCTGCAGGGCTGGCGTCAGGAAGTCTGCGCTGCCTTCTATTACTGTTGATCCAGCTTTATGCAGCTGCACTTAGTACAATTAGCTTGTAGAAACAATCCTGCTGTAGGCAGCCTCTTCCCTTAAAAGTGCTTTTCTATACTGATCCCCTCACATCATGATGTTGGAAATCAAGTCACAAGCTGACCACTGTTTGGCCAACATCATCTGTGGGAATTCATTAACCTCCATCTCAGAGATGCAACAAGAGATTGTTTGTCCAGAACTAAACTCACAGCTTAATATTATGATGTAGCCCATACAGGAAAAAACCTGTGTCCCATTTTTTGTTGTTGGCTATAACAAGAAACACATTGTGCTTATAGAGTGGGGAATGTAGCTGAAACCAAGCATGAGCCTGCTCCTGCTAAAACTCTGCCATCAAAGTGATTGTTTTTTGGTTAATCAGCCTGCAGTTGACATAGAAGCAACTTATCCCCTCGCTCATTTTGCTGGGTGCACTTTGC